AGGTAAGCACTCCTCCACTGAGCTCTATCCCCAGACGAGTAATCTGTCTTTAACAAGTCCTCCAGGAATCGGGAATGTGCTCTGAAGTTGGAGAAATGCTCCTCTGCATCGTCCACAAGCAGCCGCCACCATCACCAACGCCGCAAAGCCATGTGCTTCCTTTCTGGCGGCCACCCCAGCACTGCACACCAGCAAGTCCCCTCCTTAAACTCTACCAGCGGGCTCCTGATGCCTGAAAAGCTCTCTTACACAGATCACTTTCTAACTAATTTGATTTCCTCAACACACTATACAATTGTATAAGACTCTTCTATCCAATGATAAAACTCTTCCTTCTTACTTTTAAAGTTTAATTTTACTATGAGCCTTTTATCTTCCAAGAAAGATACAAAGAATACATTAAGCATCTACCTAGACTTCTCCCGACACCCCTCAGTCACCAGATTTGTTTTTCACTCATTCTTTCTACTTTCATTCCTATGTCCCAACAAATACGTGTGCACTCAGAATTCTAGGAACCAAATGCACAAAGTGCTGGTACTTCAGAGATGCCTATGTCTAAAGTAGACCTTATCAATGCCCTTAGAAAACTGTCCTATCAGGAGAGGTGGCAAGATGCAACTACAAATGATACACCTGAAAGGGAGGCTGCTGGGCTGGGACCTCAATAACGATGAAGAGGCAAACATGGTGGCAGTTACGACAGCAAATATTGGAGTACTGAATACTAAGTTCTTCCAGGCATTACACACGTGGTGTTTTCATACTGACTCAACAAGAAAGGAAAGTGAGCTACAGAGAAAATAAAAGTATGTGTCTCCATTACTTTCTTCTCATTGCTGGGACAAAATACCTGACACCCACAATTAAGGAAGGTAAGATTTATTTAAATCACAGTTTGTGGAGGTTTCAGTTCATACTTGGCTCCAAGGCAGAGTGGTACATGGCAGAGGGCAGCAGTTCATGGCAGCAGAAAACAGCAAAACAGCAATAACAAAGAGGGTTGATCAGCACCTGCGGCAGAGAGCAAGCCTCTCTCCCTTCCTTACATTGCATTCAGGCTATAATAGGTCTAGTACTCAAACCTATAATCCCAGCAGCATTCACACTCATGATCCCAGCATTGGACCATGAATTAATCACAAATTCTAGAAGCCCGCCCCAATGACTGCATGAGGCTCCAGGGGAACAACTAGACACAAACCATACTAGTATGTAAACAGGAAATCCAGAATTCTGCCCTGTTAGAATGGCTCCTTGGAATCACTACAAGTCCAGTCTGTGTAGTGAGACCCTGTAGACCCCATAGATCCTGTCCTAAATACAAAAAGAAAAAGAAAAAGAATGGCTCCTGAACCTCCCTTGTTGGCCACAACAGGCTCAGGTGAGAAGAGCAGGGTGAAATGTTAAGGGTGTGGGGGACAAAGACAAGGTCCAGGCAGATGAATGAGCACATCTAAGAGCCACTGTGCAGGGAAAAGTCAGCCTGAAGCCTGAAAGGAAGTCATGTGAAATTGGAGAGTATCAAACTTACGGGAAACATACTGTGGAATCGGATGGGACCAGATGTACTCACGGATACTCATACATACATCCTAAAGAAGGAGGCTTAAGGAAGGACAAGGAATCAGCTATAAGGCCCACTTTTCAGATTCCCTATGTTAGAGGCTTGAGAATGCCTGTTTATAGACAGCAAAGTATTCTTCCCAATATATAGTCAAGTCCTACGAAAAGTGAAGCACAGAAAACCTTGACCATCATCAGTAGATCAAGCAGGTTAAGGCTTCCAGTTCTTGCTTCCAATTCTTCTCTACAGGAGATCCTCGCAGAAGAATCCTACTCTGGCCCTTGGGGGAGTTTCCCAGAACACTGACCCGCTATACCACTAACAACATAAATTAAATACACAGTAACAAGGATGGTCTCTACCAAATGAAAGAGTTCTCTCATACACTATGAGAGTTTTTGCCCACAAATTTTCAAATGAAGCCAAATACACTACTTTAGAAATATGAAATTGGGGCCGGGGAGATGGCACAGTGGAATAAGTGCTTCCCTGGCAAGCGAAAGGGCCTGAGTTCAATCCCTGGTTCCGCCAAAAAAGAAATAAGAAATCATACAACTTCAAAAACTTCAAATCCACAACCGCCCTACTTGGAAGCCTACGCTTCCTGAAATCAGCATCTCCCACTCTGGGGGACACCAATTTCTGATGACTCACATTACAGTTTTTTATATGCAGAACTAACTTGTGAAAGCACTAACGGCTACGGTCTCCTTTGAATCTGTATAATTACCAATCCTGTGTGTATATATATACATGTAGCAAATAGATTAGAATATAATTTTTATAATATGCTATCAATTTTATGCATTCACATATATACTGCAGTACGTTTATGATTTCAAGTGTATTATCCCATAGGAAGCACAAAAGTTTCTTGAAAGTTTAAGCAAAAAAAAAAAAAAAAGGACATGGTGGCACAGGCATAAGTCCAGCAATCTGGGAGGCTGAGGCAGGAAGAACCCAAGCTTCTGACAGTATGGACAACTTAATGAAACCCAATTTAAAAACTTAAAAAGGGGCCAGGAGATGTTGCTCAGTGTGAAGGCCTTGGGTCCAATCTCCAATATTGAAAACAAAAAGGAAAATATTAGAAGAATACAGTTGGTATACCAATAGAAATGTTGATGGAAGTAATATATAAACTTATGAAACTACTCACCAACCACCTAGGAACAGCCAAGCACCTGTTCCACACTGTATCCAAATCTAACTCTCTGCTCACACACAACTATCTCTGCTCAAGAGATGAAATGTTAGTTGCCTTGGGGAAGAGGGGTAGCAGCAGAACATAATGTAGCATAATTCATCCTTAACACAATACCAGGTTTTTACATAAACACTGCATTGATAATCCAATCCTGCTTATTCACCATATACCTTACTTAAATCAAAGTTTTCCTGTGCTTCAGTTTCACTATATATATATATATATATATATATATATCCCTAAGTTCTCTTCCAGTTTTAGAATTCCACAAAATGATCATTGAAATTCCTTTCAGAATCAGAGGATCCAAGCCTGAGATTTTTATGAATGCTGTCACAGAAAATAAATACTAGGTAGGTCCATCTGTCATTCCAAGCCACCATCCCAAAATTTATGCTGTCATCAATTAATTATCCTCTGGAAAGATACAGCAAGACCTGAATTACAAGAGGACAATGAATTTTGCTGTCCCCACAAACCTTGGACAGATTTCCTGCTGGTCATTTCTAAGTTAACTTTCTCCACGCAGCGTTCTTACTACCACTCCTCTTCGCGGTCCTAACCAATTAACTTCAATCTAAGCCAAGACAGCATAATGAGGAGATGGATGGGGAAGGAACCTGCAAAATTCCATCTGACTCTTACTCTCCTGCGGAGCCTCTGTTAGGAACCACCTGTAAAATCTTCCCTGCTCCAATCTTAGTTTTATTCCAGTGATGCTCAAATTTAACGTTAAACCTCTATAAAGCAGTTGCTGTTCCTTATTTCTGACATGCCATTAGCAAAATAGTTTAGGCAGAATGAGCACTTATCCACCAGGTTTCTTTATCAAAATGGAAGTCTCAAAGACCTGGCCTGGCCGGGTATGGCGGCACAAGTCTGTAATCACAGCACTTGGGAGGCTGAGGCCGGAGGATCACTGCAAGCTTGAGACAAGCCAGGGATACAAAGTGAGCTCAAAGACTGGGTGTGGTAGCACGCCTATAAATCCTAGCACTTGGGAGGCTGAAAACAAAAGGATCACGAGGAGTCCAATCTGTGTAGTGAGACCCTGTAGACTCTGTACTAAATAATTAAAAAAAAAAAGTGAGCTCAAGGCCAGCCTGAACTGCATAGGAGACCCTGTCTCAAAAAAAAAAAAAGAAAGAAAGAAAGAAAGAAAAGGGGGGGGGGCTTATTTACAAAGTCCTTCCTGTGAAATCAGAAGGCCTATAAACTTTTCATAGAGGGCTTTTAGGTTCACAGGAAGATAAGTTATAAGAAGTGGTCACTTTGTATTTAACTAAAGAAAATAAAGGATGGGTGGGCTGCACCTGGCAAACTTAAAGCACAGCTGGGCAGCAGGTGATTTAAAAAAAGAAGAAGCAGCAGCAAGTCCCTAGGCAAATTGTGTAGCCAAGGGTGATCATTATTATAACTGGAGAGTTGTTACATAATTACTTGTTAACTCCTAACAAACAGACACATAGCTACAAAAATGCCATGGTTACCCTAGCTAGTAATATACCTGGTACATGAGTCAAGGTCTCTCCAATTAATTTCATTCAAAGAAATAGCAATCCTGGGACCTATTCCCTTCCAAGGTAACTCCTGCTTTTACATATACAAAACAGCCTCAAGCAATTAAACCAACTGCCTCTAGGGACAAAAAAAAAAAAAAATCAGTGTTTCTCCTTAATATTGATTTTTAAAGGGAAGAAGGGACACAAAGGTACGTTCAGAGGGCTATTTCTCACTTCGATTAAAACCCGACTTTCATTCCAAACTGGAAAATATGAAAAGGGTCCCTCCCCCATGGGCCCATGCTCTGCTGGCGCAAAACGCAAAGACCTTAGTGTCGGATGCACTGCATTCCAACATTTTTCAAAAAGTTTATGAGGATTTACCGAAGCGGCGGAGAGAAAAATAAAGGAAGCAAAAGGAGAGGAAAATGCACAGGATTTCGGCAAGGAAGGAGCCGGTGAAGCGCCCGGGGGCTTAGTGCAAGGCCCGATAACCGGGAAGCGCCCCGGCACCCGGAGAGCAAGCGCCCAGCGGAGCGCGAGGAATGACAGCCGCTGGGTATCCGTCGCCAGGGGTCCCCTCGAGCCCCAGCACGACCCCCGCCTCCCGTCCCCTCCCCGACCCTTCCCCCGCAGCGCCGGCGAAGCCCGCTGGGCCAACTTGGCCCCGGGTCAGCGCTGCGGAGCGCAGCCCCACCGCCGCGGAGGCCGCCGGCGCCCTCACCTCCTTCTGCTTGGGGTCCTGCGGGTAGACGTCGGGCGGCCCGAGCCGGGGGCGCTTCAGCGGTCTCTGCTCATAGCTGAGAAGCCCGAAGGCGGCCATGATCTCTCATGTTAACCGGCGAAATGAATGAGAGTTGGAGCTGGAGCAGCCGCCTCTGAGCACCAGGGAGCAGCACTTTGCAGACAGACTCCCTCTCTCCCCCTCCTCGCTCGCTCGCTGTGGCGCTGCAGGCAGGGGAAATAAAGCAGGTTGGATGCCGCCGCTGCCTGGCACGCAGACGCGCACTGACGCGGGCAGCCTTCGGCGGGCACCCGGCTGCGCTGAGCACGGGACGCGCCGCTCCGGGCGCGGCGCGGGGGCTGGAGGTCCGCCAGGGTCTTCCGCGGCGCCCGCCTCCTACCACTCCCCTTGTCCCCAGGGGGAGGAGCAGCTGATGGGAACGTGTGACTTTTTTCACCAATGGACCCAAACCCACCCCAGCTGGGCGCAGGATGAAGATGGGGGAGGGGGTGAGAAAGGGGGTAAAAAACTTTTCTAGGCGCCTGGACCGGCGGCTCCAGCGCTCGCCCAAGCCCCGTCCCCCGAGGAGAGCGGCGGGGCGGCCCACCCCCGCCCCAGGCCTCCGCGGAGACCCTCTCCCGGCGCCCCGCGGACCCCGCCACCTGGGCGCAGACCAGCCAGCGCGAGGGGAGGGGGGCCTGGAGGGCCGGGGACCGAAGGGATGCGGCGGGTGCCCCGAGACGCCCGCCCGGCTCCGTGGCGCATCCACCGCTCGGGTGCCGCGGCCGCTCCGGGCAGGCGCCAAGGAGCGCTGCGGGCGGTCGTGGCAGCCGGAGGGGGCCGCGCTCACCGCGGCTTGGGGCCGACTTAACCCTTTGCTCCCCTCCCGGGGCTGGGAGGGGAGGCGCTGAGGCTGCTGCGGGCGCCTGCTGGGCCGGCGACCGACTGGGGTCTCGGCCCCTCCCCGCCCCCACCCCAACAGTTTACCTGTTGGTCCGGGGCTAGTGGGCGGGGGCCGCCGCCGGCGGGGGCACTCGGGCGGCCGCAGCCTCCATCATTCGGGTCGGGAAGGGGTAACTGGGCTTGATTTTACTGGTGAGACAGCTGCCTCTCCCGGCCGAGCTCCGGGTCGCCGCGAAGTTTGCCACTGTCTGGGGGCGCCGAGCAACGCCGGCGTCCTCGCCGCCTCTGCCCGCGAGCGCGAGCTTCCGAGTTGGCGGACGCGGCGGCGCGGGGCCGCACTGAGCATGCCCAGCCCGCCGGACCGCGGAGGAGTCCTGCGAGCGCCGCGCGCTCCGATCCGCCGCTCCGGGTTTTCGCAGCGGCAGAGCGCGGGGCCGGCGGGCCGGGGCGCCGGAGCCGGCCGGGGGTCAGACCTGCGCGGGGAGGGCGCCCCGGGGACTCCTGCGGGCGTCCGGCTGCGGGCTCCGCCGCGACCTTTCGCGAGGTCGCGTCCCCGCGGCCTGGACCAGAAGCCTCACCTGCGCCACGCGCGTGGATGGGGGCGCGAGGTTGTGCGCTCCGGGCCGACGGCATCAGACCAGCCCTCCCTCCTGGCTCGCCGCGGGGCGTGGGCGCCGAGGCACTGGTCCACCTGCCGCGAGCACCCGGAGACCTCAGCCCCGAGGCGGAGACGACCCGGCCGGTCCTGGGGTACCCCGCGGAAGGCCCGCCCGGACGTTGCGCCCCCACTTGGCCAAGAATGATGGCTGCCATCTATGTAGCTTTTGCTTCCAGTCAGAATCTGCTCACAAACCTCTCCAGGTTTTACGCTACCATATAGATGGAGAAATTGAGTCGGTTTAGGGAGGTCCTGTGAAGCTAGTCGGGATTTGAACCTATCAATAGCTGCCTGATCTCAAGTTTCTGAGCTATATTCTGTGCACTTGGTATTGGAAATACGGGGTGCCTAACCTGCACTTGGCCTCATTGTGTCACGTTCCCCGCAACTGGAGAAATGTTCTAGGCTACTGATTACAGCTCTGTAAATTGTGCAGGCAGAATCTCACCTGAAGCCTTTGCAAACTCCTAGGACACGGGTGCTCAGGAAACGCTGTTTGTGAATGTGTATTTACCTGTGCTTCCTTAAAGTACCCTAAGAAAGGAGGTACATATGCCCATGACATATATGAGAGTGGCTAATTCTTCACTCGTGAGGCTGAGTCAGGAGCATGGATTTTGGCTTACTCATCCACAGCAAATACTTCTCCAGAAAGGTTACCTTCCTCTCAGGAGACATTTCCTAACCTCCTTTCCCACACAGCCACAAGGATTTCTCTTCTGATAGCCTAGATACAACTGTATGGATCAACATCCCGTTGTGATATGGGCAATGATCATATCTAGCTCACTTGCTGTAGTAAAGGAACAGCAGGGGACTGGGGAGATGGCTCAGTGGAATAAGCACTTCCCTGGCAAGTGCAAGGGCCTGAGTTCAATCCCTGGTTCCGCAAAAAGAAAAGGAACAGTACTTTTTTTTTTTTTTTTTACTGAACATCCAACTTTCTCAGGAAAGTAAGCATCCATACCAAAACGTGAAGAAACTGTACAGCAAATTTTCATGCATCTCCCAGCTGTGACAAAGTTCACCATTCTCATTTGGGTTTGAGGTGCTGGAGTCTCTTCTGGAGATGGTTTCTAGGTTCTTTCCATCTCAACGAATTGGAACAAAACAAGCAAAAATGGTAACAAAGTTTCATATTTACTGAAGGTAGAGAAAATTAAAGAAGAGAAATTAAAATTGAAGGGCAAAGGAGAAACTGGCTCTGCAGATGGATACTGAGCCGAGTAAAAATAAAATACATAGGAAAAATAAAAGCACACCCTAGAGAATGCGGGTGGGCTAACAGAGGTGGCATGGTAGTAGTGCCTTGTCTTTTTATTCATTTCACACCTGAGTTGGTCCTGAGAACTGTTTGCACAAGTGTCCAGGATGTGAAGCCCTACCTTCTATATCACTGTCACTTTTCCTATCCCCACCAGACTCGTGCATAGGTTTACTCATTGCTGTAGCCCAGGTGGCAAGTATAGGACCTGGCACATGGGCATTCCAGAAATGTTGGCTGGTGGTGGAGGAGAGGTGTGCAGTGGGGCAGGGGAATTGTAGATGGATCAACTATTGCATTATTGGTGGTTCTTTAGGGATACAATGCGATGCTGCTCAATGTAACGCCTATTCTAGTGTGAGATATGCCCTAAATTCTTCCCTTGGCATACACAGACTAGTTCCTCCAACCAAAACACCACTGAAGTACTTCAAGTCTTTTTTTTAAGACAGGGTTTGCTCTGTAATTCAGGCTGGCCTGAATCTTTTGAGAATTGACAGGTATGTGTGTTTTAATTAAGATTTTTATATTTTCCTGCTTTTTTTTTTTTTTTTTTTTTTCAGTACTAGCACTTGAGCCTGGTGCCCTCATACTGGGCTACATTTTCAGCCCTGTAATTTTTTGTCTTTAAAACTTTTTGACAAGAGTCTCACTGAGTTACTGTTACCCAGACTGAGCTCAAATTAGCAATCTTTATGCCTCAGCCTCCAGATTCCTGGGATTACAGTCATGTACCATGACACCTGGATGACAGGTGTTTGAAAGCAGACTCTTTCCTTGGGTCACATCCAACAACTTCTTAGAGATCACTTAGCCCCAGGAGCTCCCCACTGCTTATGCTTATGTTTCCTCCGTAAACCTTGGTTTTCAGCATTGTGCGAGGAGTACCTATAACTGGGTCCAGTTTTGTGCTCCTGGATAAAGTCCTTTAAGATGGCTCAAGCCTGGCTTCATCCCTATTTGGTCTGCAGTAAAAGCACACATAACACTTCCCTACACAATCTATGGGAGCATTTCCTAACCAGCTCTCTCCTTATCAACCATGGACACATTTAATAAACTACAGCCCACGATGTGAATTCTCAAGTGATTTCCACAGACTACAGAGGACAAACATCAAGTGTGAGGTCAGTGATTCCCCCCAAAGTTCTTTTCATGAAGCTTAAAGTGAAAAATAACATGTAATTGGCAAAAGGCAGAAGCACCCTCATATTTGCAGAGCTGATTTCAAAACTGACCATGAAGAATGGTGAAGAGCAGAGGCGGGGTGTGGGTCCATTAGGTGCTGTGGCTCTGCTATTTCTATTTTACAGATTAGCAGGTAGGGCTTCAGAGGTGCAACTGCTGGTGCAAGGCCCTCAAGGTAGCAAGCTGCAAAGCCAGAATGACACCCAGATCACGCTGACCCTGCAACCTGTGCTCGTTATTTTTGTCAGTGTATTACACACATTATCATTTATACAACACATATAAAGATGAGCCAGCTCTGGCATAATGAAACTCATGACAGCTTGCTGTAGCATAGCCGCATGCTTCCACTCAACTGGAAAGAAACAATTCTCAGTGTAGTGCCTGTAGGTGAAGAAATTAAAGTTGCAGGGTTTCCTCACAGGACTGATGCTTGTCCAGGTGTACATATTACTGTGTTTTGTTAACAGATTGTCTACAGGCAGTTTTGTTAACTTTTAATTTTTCTTACACCCCATTCCATTTACATGTACTTGTCTTGTGTCTACTTCTGATTCAGGAAAGCACATGCCCCCTTGTCTTTTAGCCTTTTAAAGAAAAAGAAGACTGAATGACATTCACAGGTTGATATTAATTTTGGAGTGCTCTGTCCAAACTGAGTTATCCAGCTCTAATAAAGACTTTATGCTTTTAGAAATGAAAGAATGTAACAGGGAGACTCTCAAAGCAACAGTGACCACTAAAACTATATTGCAAGCCAAAATGCTGTGTGTATGCTTAAATTTTCTCCTAGTCTTATTAGAAAGTAAGAAGTGGGTGAGATCAAAACATAACAAGAATTTGAATTAGAAACTGAACCAATGATAAGGCAAAAGATTGAGCACCTTCTTGCATAAATGGTGCCTGACTTAGTCACAAAAAGAAAGCCTACTGGTTAGTTGCTGGAGGAGAACAAACAACCAAGTTACTGCCCTTAATCAGTGTCACGGAGCTTTTCAGCACTGGAGTCAGCTAACCAGAGCTGCTGAAGCTCTCCAAGACAGACAAATACTAAATACCCTCAAACATTCAGTAGGAAATCAGAGTACTGGTCTGTTGCTACACAAAGAAATCCTCTTCTGGGAACTGAAATACGTCTATCTCTTCAGGGCCCACCAGATAGCTCAGCAGATTAAAGCAGGCACTCAGGAACTGGGATTCGATCCCCGGGTGTGCTGTGCTGGCCTGGCCCCCGTGGTGCACTGAGAGGGCGACTGAGACTGGACATGGTGGCACGCCTGTAATCCCAGAGCTTGGGAGGCTGAAAACAGGAGGATTGCTACAAGTCCAATCTGTGTAGTGAGATTCTGTAGACCCTGCACTAAATACAGTTTAAAAAAAAAGAAAAAAGTCTATCTCTTCTCTCACAGTTCACATTGTTGGTGGTTTTAAGAACTGTTGTGTATCTGGATCAGTTTACACAAGTTTAATGACCATAAAATTAAAGTGAAGGGAGCTGGGTAAAAAAGAAGTGTTCAGACGGCCCAACAGTAGAATGCCCCGCCCTTGTGACAGGAATGGGACAGATGTTGTGGTCCACTGAACCCATCACTGGATACACAAATGAGTAATTATTGTCCAATGCCTTTACTGTTTGCTTCAGACCAGAGATTCCCGATTGTCTAAAAATATTTTTTCTTTCTTTTTCTCTTTTTTTCTATTCTCTCTCTCTCTCTCTCTCTCTCTCTCTCTCTCTCTCTCTCTCTCTCTCTCTCCCCCCCCCCCACCCTCTCTTGCTGGGGATCAAGACCTTGCACTTGCCAGGAAGGAGCTTAAGCCACTGAGCTATCTCCCTGTAAAAACATTTTTTCTTGTTCTCTTTGATTTACTTCTTTTTTGCTTTTCTACAGTGCTGGGGATTGAACCTGAGGTGTTGGTCATGCTAGGCAAATGCTTTATCACTTGCAATATCTCTAAACCTGTTTTGTTTGGAGCTCACACTATACTCTAGGAAAATCTGCCTGTGCTGGGTGCACACTCCCTAATAACAGCCATCTATGAGATGTGAGGCAGTGGACCCGATGCTTTGAGTTTGCTCTGTTGTCACAGTCCAACTGACCA